GTGCGCCGCAGGATCAAGGCGTGGGGATGCCTCAGTCCCGCGGCGCACTTTCCCAGGGCGGCCCCGTGCCGCCAGTCCGCTTCCCCCTTTACTTGGGGATATCCTAAAGGCATCAGACCCCATCTGATCTGACAAGCTAAGTGGGGTCATCCCTGGTTAATACTTGGATGGAACATCACCAATGAATACCAGATGCTGTAGGCTATATTTCAGAGGAAGGGCTTGGCAAAACCACCTCTGAGTATTCCACTCCCACTTCTTCACGCTGCTGAGTTAATGGAGTGCAAACTACTTCTGCATTTTGGAAGTAAGCTGAAGATAAAGGGGGGAAATGGGAAGGAGAAAAACTGGGACATTTTAAAAGCAGCTGAAAAAGCGGGATGACAGAGGATTAATTGCAATGTGCCTTGCCAAATTGGGACAGTTGGAGGATATGCATCTGAAGCCATCAGATTCTCTCCACCCATCAGTGTGTATAGTACCTAAACCCAACAAAAGTTATTTTAACATTTGAGAATGTCTCACTAGATCTTTCACCCCATTCCCTGGCAGTCAAAACAGAAACACAGCAAAGTATAAAAGTAAGTGTTCAAAAATTATTCAGAGGCCATGTGCTCAATTAAGTGTCAAATAACAACATGGTTACTCTGCATGATCGCTGACACCCTCCAGTGTCCTACACAAGCTTTTACACTGAATTTTATTCATTTTCTATCCTTTTGAGGTGGCACATTTCTGCTGTCATTACACTAGTTTGCTGATCTCAGAATGTAGAAAAGGTATGGTTTGGGACTGTAAGTCCCACAATTCCCATGGTCACACTGCTTGGAGGATTCTGGGAAGTGGTGGTCCAAAAAAACCTGACTTTTCTCAGTCCTGCCTGCTCTAGATAAAGAAAATAAATGTGCAAAAGAGAGTGTGTGTTATAAGAATTGCTTTAATATTAAAAAAAACCAAAAACCTTTGTGGGTCTCCTGTCATGGCCCTAAACTGGAGAAGCCCAACCGCCATGGGTCCAAGGTGAGGACCTCACGTAAGCACCTGAAAGGTCACATCTGCACCTACAACAATTTGCAGATCAAAAGGGCCAAACCTAGGAGCTGCAAAGCAGGATATTCCCACCTACGATGTGTACCAGCCAGGATGTGTCCAGCTGAGGATGAGATAACATCAACACCCCATCGCCGCTCTTTGGAAATTGTCTAATTCAAAGAGTATAAATCTGGAATCCTTTGATATACAATAGAAAATTTTTGCCTCAGGGTAGGTTTAAGGGTATAAAAAATCCCCAAAATCTCAGGCACAGTGGGTCTGGTTAGATTTCATAGCGACACTGCGACACTGGGTCCCAGCTTTTCCCGTCGTCCTTTCCCTTTCATAATGGTTGAGTCTATCCATCTTCATTCATTGTTGGAGCAGCCTCCTTCAGGTAATTATTACCATTAGAAAGCCTTTGTTTCCTATCCAAGCTAACTACTTTATTTCTGAGTTCTTGTGTGTATGAGTGAATGTTAGAGTGTCTTTGTATATTTGAATCCCCAAATAAATCACAGACTCATTGAGAAACATTTTTGTCTTTATCAGTCTATTCCCTAGCCACCTCCATAAACATAGGATAAAAGATCCCATTGGAGATGTGAACTTTTAGCAATTCCCCAAGTTCAAGTTTTTCTTACAGTGTGACAGGGGAAGACTATTTCACCTCAAATCTGGCACATAAATCTCAGTTTGGGGTTAAAAGGCAGGGTATAAATATAGCTAATAACAGAGCCAGTGTGGTGTAGTGGTTTGAGAATTGGACGACTCTAGAGGCCAGGTTCGAATCCCTGCTCAGCCATGGAAACTCCCTAGGTGAACTTGGGCAAGTCACACTCTCTCAGCCTCAGAGGATGGGAATGGCAAACCCAAAACTCTCTGATAGAGCCACCTTAGGGTCGCCTTAAGTCAGAAACGACTTGACGGCACACCACACACATACGGTAACAGTACTAAAAAATTACAGGAATAGGAGTCATGTAGCCCTGCTTTTGAACTGCAACTCCCAGCAACCCTAGGCAGCATAGCCAAAGATAAGGGATGCTGGGAGTTGAAGTTAAACAACTTCTGAAGTACCATACAGTCTCCATCCCTTCTATATTACTTGCAGAAACAAAAAGCGAGGGAGGGACCAGGTTAGAGAAAATTTGGGGTGCATCTACACCAGGGGCCGGCAACCTACGGCCCCCGTGCCGGTTCCGGCCCAGGTCGCCGGACTTACCAGCCCAGGCAGACCCCTGCCGCTGCTGCCGCCACGCGCCGCCACTGCAGCGCGTTTTTGCCTCCGTCCAGCAGCTCGCGCCATGGCCACCATTTTGATTTTCACTCCCCCCCCGGCCCAGTGGAAAGGAGGACTTCGGGGGACCGGCCCAGAGCTTAAAAAGGTTGCCTACCCCTGATCTACACTGTAGAAATAATGCAGATTGACACCACTTTAAGTGCTGTACCTCCATCCTAGGGAATCTTGGGATTGGTAGTTTTACAAGGGCTTTAGCCTTCTCTGCCAAAGAGTGCTAGTGCCTCATAAAACTATAAATCCTAGGATTCTGTAGGATGGGGCCATGGCAGTTAAAACAGTGTC